GTGTCGTCGTAGTCGTTGTCGTCGTCGTCGTTGTCGCTGTCGTCGTCGGCGTCGCTGGTGTTGCCAAGTGCCAGTTGGTACCCACCGTCACGGTCTTAAGAGATTTTGCAAACCAAGTTGCGGGTGGGTGGGTGGGATATTTGCGCGAGCAGTGGAGTGGACAACTCATTGCGAACAGAAATTATTTGCACCACCTAGATTGCACCGCATGTAGTGGATCACCTAGATTGCACAACCTATATTGCACCACATAGATCGCATTGCATAGATCGCACAACATACGTTGTACAACATACATGTTCCCAGCATCAGTCGCATCACGCAGACTGCATCACCCATGGTGCACCGCATATGTTGCACTACACCGATTGCACCACAGAACGTGCCCCACATAGATGGCACCACATGCACTGCTCGAACCATACTGGTTGGAGTCCACGCTGGCTAACAGTTGGATAAGTTTTGTTGGCTGACAGCATGTATCTTCTGATTCCCAGATGTCAGTCGACCTCAGGCGCTGTCATGCGTCAAGGGTCGAAAAGTTTCCCCTGTTCCTTCAGAAAGCAAGTCAAAGACGAGATCGGCTCGCCAGCTGGCGCACCACGGAAAAGTACCCATCTGCTTGCGACACACCCACCAGGGCTGAACCTAAACTGTGTTTTTCGTGTTCGTGTTGCGTTCGTTTTCCCTCTCGTTCTGTGTCGAATCCACCTCTACCGCAAAACGGAGTCGAAACGAAAACGGCCCACGAAATCACCAAAACACCGTTTAGGTCCAGCCCTAAAACCCACCACCGTGCTTGTGCAACAGCGCCGCAGGACGGAGGTTGAGTGCAGGAACAGCGCAGTTCTTACGAGTGGTCCGAATCGGGGCGGGTCGTGAATTCGACCTCGTCTTCGCCCGCGCGGTAGAACGGAGGACGAGTTCATGCCCCGCGGCAGTTCAGCGGGTGAACTGAATGGGGGAGGGTCGTGACCTTGATGCGTCTTCGTGCGCGCGACAAGTGGGAGGAGAAGCAGGAGGCGGAAGGAAAGGGGAGGGAGAGAATAAAGACAAGGAGGAAAAGGCCTCGTAAGGACTCTCCTGGGGCCTCCTTGGAGCCTACTGTGGGGGGGGGGGGCTATTAGAGGCCTCCTTGGGCCTCTTGAGGTCCTTGTGGGCTTCTTAGGCAGTCTTAGGAGGGCTCTCGGCCCGCCTGACACCTTCGGAGGCCGTCTTGGGGGCCTCTCTCGGCTGTCTTGGTGCCCTCTTGGGGCGCTTGAGGTTGGGGTCATCTTGGGCCGACTCGGGGCCCTCTTGGGGGCCTCACAGGCTGTCTTGGAGCTACCTGGAAGGCCCCTTGGGCCGTCTTGGGTGGTCGGAAGCCCGAACAGGCGAGAACCTCACTCCTCCAATACCTGATGACAATCAATGGTTTGTGTCTCATCGTGCTCTCCTGGAGGGACTCTTGGAGCCGTCTTGGGGGCTTCTTGGGCCGCCTTGAGGCTGTCTTGCGAGCCTCTTGGGCCGTCTTGTGCCATCTTGAGCCGTGTTGGGTTGTCTTGGAAGCCGTCTTGGAGGCCATCTTGGCCGTCTGGAGGCTGAAAGGAGAGCCAGGGAGCAGTTTCAGGGGAGGCGATCTCAGAAGCACGCGCGCGACGCAGGCGGGGATCGGCCCTAGAAAATATTGAATATCCTTGCGGGGGACCCAACCATACGCAGTTGTGAGTACCGCAGTTGTGAACATCTTCTTCGGTGGAGCTCCCTATGGGGCCACGAAGCGCTGCACTGGACGGGGGGGACGCATGCGGGCGGTAGCACTGGGGCCTTCGGTGGAGCTCCTTATGGGGCCACGACGCATTGTACTGGGTGGAGTGGACGCATGTGGGCGGTAGCACTGGGGCCGCCGGTGGAGCTCCCTATGGGGCCACGAAACGCTGTACTGGGTGGGGGGACGCATGCAGGCGGTAGGACCTTCGGTGGAGCTCCATACGGGGCCACGAAACGCTGTACTGGATGGAGGGGACGCATGCGGGCGGTAGCACTGGGGCCGTCTGTGGAGCTCCCCATGGGGCCACGAAGCGCTGGACTAGGTGAGAGGGGCGCATGCGGGCGGTAGCACTGGGACCTTCAGTTGAGCTCCCTATGGGGCCACGAAGCGCCGTACTGGGTGGGGAGGACGCATGCGGGTGGTAGCGCTGGGACCTTCGGTGGAGCTCCTTATGGGGCCACGAAACGCTGTACTAGAGTGGGGGGGAGCGCATGTGCGCGGTAACATTGGGGCCGTCTGTGGAACTCCCTATAAGGCCAGGAAACGTTGTACCGGGTGGGGGGCGCATGTGCGCGGCAGCATTGAGGCCGTCGGTGGATCCCTATGAAACCATGAAACGCTGCACTGGGTGGGGGGGGCGCATGCGGGCGGTAGCACTGGGACCTTCGGTGGAGCTCTTTATGGGGCCATGAAGCGCTGCACTGAGTGGGGGGACGCATGCAGGCGGTAGCACTGGGGCCGTCGGTGGAGCTCCCTATGGGGCCACGAAACGTTGTGCTGGGTGGGGGGGACGCATGCGGACGGTAGAACTGGGACCTTCGGTGGAGCTCCTATGGGGCCATGAAACTCTGTACTGGGTGGGGGGACGCATGCGGGTGGTAGCACTGGGGCAAGCGGTGGAGCTTCCTACGGGGCCACGAAACGCTGTATTGAGTGGAGGGGGCGCATGTGGGCGGTAGAACTGGGATATCTAGTTCTACAGCCCACATGCGGTAGAACTAGGTAGCACATGGGAGAACTAGATATGCTTGCCTTGCCGTGGGCGCCATGGCTTATGTACTGTATTTGACTTTAACGTGCGTTGGGCATACGACTCGCGGAGCCTCCTGGCTGTGAGCGTGTCTTCGCCTTTCTTCTCCATGCTGTTTCATCCAAGCGGCTCTCTCTTCTTCTGCCTTCCTGCTCGTCCTCTCCGTTTCCATCCAGGTCTCACCGATACGAAATGAGATATGTTCGTATCGCTCCGCGTTCGCATGTTGGCATTGGGCATATGTCTCATGCTCCGGGCTTTTCGTCTTATTCGAATGAGACGTCTCGATTTTCCTCTTCGTGCTACTGCTCGTGCTACTGCTCGTGCACCGAATCCGTGACACATGCATTTGCCTTGATATGTGAGCCCAAGTTGTTTGTGATGGGCCTGGCAGGCGGTGTGGAGAGTACATGTGGTGCGTCGCGGTCGTCCCCTTCCTCGTCAAAAAAAAATGTGGGCGGTAGAACTGGGACCGTCGGTGGAGCTCCCTGTGGGGCCACGAAACGTTGTATTGGGTGGGGGGGGCGCAAGCGGGCGGCAGCCCTGGGACCTTCGGTGGAGCTCTTTATGGGGCCACGAAGTGCTGTACTGGGTGGGGGGACGCATGCGGGCGGTAGCGCTGGGACCTTCGGTGGAGCTCCCTATGAGGCCACGAAGCGCTGTACTGGGTTTGGGGGGACGCATGCGGGGGGTAGCACTGGGACCGCCGTTGGAGCTCCCCACGGGGCCACGAAACGTGTGAGGGGTGTGCTGAAACGGGTGATGACGATGATGATGGAGGAGGGAAAAGAGAGAGAGAGAGAGAGAGAGAGAGAGCAGCGGGAGGAGGAGGAGGAGGAGGAGGAGGAGTGAACGCGGGGCGTTGCCTCTTCAAAACGAGAACCCAACTCCACAGGATGGTTAGGAAAGAAATGCCAGAAACACAAGACACGCACTCTAAGACGCCCACTCCGTGCAGGCACGGTGGAGGATGATCCCCGGATGGCCCCAGGGACCAACAGAAGCACTGTGATGCCTTAGGGCCCTCAGAGCTCGACGAAGAATGTGCCCTAAGATATCGCACATCAAGATATATTATCGTATGTACCTACTGTACAGCGAGGTGCCTGTATACTTGGCCTTTGCTCGCGCGAGAGATGAGTTTGTTGAATGTACGAGCATGTGCTTGCATTCCTGTGTATACCCGCGCGCGCCGGGGCCTGGTTTTCATACTCTACCCGATAAGACGTAAGAGTAACCTTTCGCCGGAGTGATCTCTGGTGCGGGCCCAATGGGGTATCCCGATCGCTGAACTCGAAGCGGGAGCAGCGGCTTGCGCGCCTAGCTTTGGCCACCCCCGCGTCCCCCGTTAAGCCACGCACCAAAGGTCACTCTTGCCCAGGGTCACTCTTGCGTGCAGCCAACCTACGAAGTGCTGTTTCTGGAGCGCCTTAGCGATGACCAATCCATAACCAGTGTCCGCGCCTTCCTCCTGCATGATCCTGCCCTCTAGGCCTCCCAGATGGGGTCCGAGAAGATGGGGTCGGAGGATCGCTCCGCATCGCCAATGCATCGCCAATGCGGTTCGTTGTGGAGCCCGATTTGCTTCACGTCGACGTCGCCGATGCATCGCCGACGTCGAGGATGCATCGCCAGTGCATCGCCGATGCATCGCCGACTCATCGTCGATGTATCGGCGATGCGGCGCGATCCTCTGGCCCCATCTACTCCGACCCCATCCAAGAGGCTTCCTAGAGCGCTTTCGCGATGACCAATCCTTACCAGCGTCCGCGCCTTCCTCCTGCGTGTTCCTGCCCACCTCCTCCGAGAGCCCCAGACCCCCACCATCGCCGGAAGAACAGCACGGGCGCTCTCCTGCAGTCTCGGGGCCAGGGGCCCGCCCTCGGGCTCTTCGGACCTCGACAAACATCGCCCGCGGCGAAAAACAAGTCCCTGAACGAAGGATTGCAAAAAGACCCGAAGGATTGCAAAAAAAACCCAGGATTGCAAAAAAAACGAAGGATTGCAAAAAAAACTATGTTGCTACGAGCCCTGCGGCCCATGCCGACCCCCCCCCCCCCCGAAAAAACGATGTCAGAGGTACGGGGCGTTGTGCGTCGAGTCATAGCTTGGCCTCGAGTGCTCCGAACATTGAGCAGCTCATTGTGCGCCCGTTCCAGCTCGAGGGTCACTAGGTGACCACTGGCATGCCCCAGCACTTGGCCGATTGAGAGCGGCGCAATGGTTCCGCCACCAACGGAGAAGTCGTTGTGGAGGGCGTGGCCGTACATTGCCGTGTGGATGGTGCTCAGCACCGCTCTGATCTTCATGAACAGCGACATCCTCAACAACAGGATGAAGTACCCAGCGCTCCTCACAGCCTGGCACATGGCGGTAAGTTCCGTCTTGGTGCGGGTCTTGCACTACACGGCCCCAGCGCACCTGGGCCTCTTCAGCGAGGAGCAGCCAGAGGTATCCTTGAACACGGTGCTGACGAAGCTGATGCCTATCGCGGCGCTCTTCTCCGCCGCGCTCGCCATGGGGAACCGCGCGTACCTCTACTGCTCCATCGCCTTCATTCAGATGGTGAAGGCATCGCACGGGGTCACGACATACCTGCTCAACACGTTGGTCGGGGCCGAGCTGTTCATGTGGAGCAAGCTCCGGCTTGTCTCCTTGGTGTGTTTTGGAGTGATGTTGGCCGTGACAGGCGAGCTCGAGTTCCACGTGGTCGGGTTCCTCTGCCAGTGCTTCTCGTCGGTCTCGGAGTGCACGCGGGTTGTCCTCATCGGGTTGCTTCTCAACAAGAGCGGCCTGAAGATGGACCCCTTGACCGCCCTCTCCTACTACGCCCCCATGTGCCTGGTATTTCTGGTGCCGTTTGCGATGCTGACGGAGATGCCGTCTGATTGGAGCTCCTTCGCGGCGGAATTCCGGGAGGAGGTAGGCTTCGGCTTACTCATCTTGAACGGGCTGGTCGCCTTCGCTCTCAATGTGTCGGTGGTGTTGCTCATCAACGCTACTAGCCCAGTGCTTTACATTCTGTGCGGCGTGATGAAAGACATTGTCATAATCTTGGGCTCCATCCTGGCCTTGCACACGCCCGTGGCCCCACAGCAGATCCTCGGCTACATCGCAGCAGTGGTAGGCATCCAGTTGTTCAACCTCGTGTCCAAGAATCCCGACGTGTTCGAGGCCCACGGTCTCGTCCGCGGCGTCTGGGAAGTGGTGCAGCAATGGAAGGACCCGAAGCCGGAGCTACCGCTGCTGCCCTTGCAGAAGAGCGACAATGAGTCCCTGATGTCGGGCAGCACCCAGGAGGGTGCGTCGGGCACGTCCGAGTCTCTCGAGTAGGGGCTCCGCGGAAGCCCTGGCATCACAGCCGCATCGCTTGTGCAGCGGAGGGGCGCACTCGGGCACTGAGCCAGCCCCCGCGCACCCACGCGCCTGCGGCGCTCCATGGGCCGCTCCTCGCCCCAGCTGGTGGGCCTTTGGCAGACACCGGCAACGTCTCTGGGTGCCGAAAGCCAGGAGGTGAGCTCCGCGCCAAGCGCCCGAGTGAGCCTTGCAGGCGGAGCCAGAAGTAGACAGTTCGTCCAGCCCCTGCTCGATTTTTGGCGTGGCTGGCCGGGGCGCCGTCTTTTTCTCCCCGCAGCTCCAGAGAGGCACCCGCCAGGTGCAATGTCCCTGGCGGCGCTCTGGGGTCCACGGCTGCCTCGGCCGGCTCCTTTTGTATGCATGTGCAGCCTGTTCGGCGTCAGGTTCGGGCTTGGCGCCTGGACCGCTCCTCGGGGGCAACGTTGGCGGGGGCGGTGCAGGCTCAAGGGAGGTACGCATTGACCATCGACCCCTAATCACCCATTGATCACCGATAGGCCTGATCGCTCACCCCGCCCAGGAACGTCCGGTTTCGCCATCGGGGGCAAATCGTCGATCTATTGGCTATGGCATGCGGATTCCAGGTCGATGTTTCCACCCTTGAGCCGCCCCCCCCACCATCGCTGCCCCTCAGCTCATACGCAAACTAACCAGATGTTGGGGTGACCACTGACCACGCCGCATCCAGCCGACGAGGCGTGGGTTGCAGTGCCCCAGGATCTGAACTTGGCATGTTTTGTCTCTGGTGCGTGGTGCCTCTGCTGGGCAAGCGCGGCGAGCCAGAGGCGACCCCTCGTGCTCGACCCTGGATTTTAGACCGGTGTTGCTGCTGACGGGGAGGCGCTCTTCCAGAGGCAAAAAGAATCAACCAGAATCGGCGTCCTCTCCGCCACCGCGATTCGCCTGCTCGTCAGCAGAGTCGACACGCGTCGGGCCCCATCGGTCTGGGCCGTGGGGGCGGGCAAAGTATGGATATCCCGTAGAGCCAACCGATGGCCCTCATTCTCCGATCATGGTCATGCTGTCCTGGTCCACGCAGCTCGCCCGCCGGAGGCTTTGATAACAGCAGGGCTGGACCTAAACGGTGTTTGGGGTGATTTCGTGGGCCGTTTTCGTTTCGATGTCGTTTTGCGGTAAAGGCAAATCGAAGACAAAACGAGGGAAAACGAAAACAAAACGAAAACGAAAATCACCATTAGGTTCAGCCCTGGATGACAGGGGTTGGTGCCAGCCAGGGCCCCGATGCCGGCATCTCGAAGCTTTCGTCAAGCTGCAGGGCCCCTGGGGCGTCGAAGCAGCGGCGCCGGCCCGAGCCCCGAAGCGTCGGCATCCAGAGTGCTGACAGCAGCGGGGTGCAGAAAAGCAGCGTGGCCAGAATTGGAACAGCGTGGCCCAAGCTGGAGGAGGAGGAGGAGGAGAAGGAGGACGACGACGACGATGAGGAGGAGGAGGGGGAGGAGGAGGAGGGGGAGGAGGGGGAGGAGGAGGAGGAGGAGGAGGAGGAGGAGGAGGAGGAGGAGGAGGAGGAGGGACACTGAGATCTTGGCGTCGCATTTTTTCCCACATCAGGTTTCTTCGCTCGGATTCGGGCACCAGGCCCTTTGCAGATCGGTCCGGCTCGAGAAATGACGCAGCAAGATTGGGTCCAGGGTTCTTGTCGTGATTCTTCCAGATGTTGTAACGTTTTCGCGGCGTCGGATGAGGAGGACGAGGAGGAGGAGGAGGAGGAGGAGGAGAAGGAGGAGGAGGAGGAGAAGGAGGATAACCTGGTCACAGTGATATCTCCATCCAGCCAGCGATAACATCCGCCAGGCTACTAGTTTGATCATCCCCCCCAGGGCTGACCAGCCCTGGGGGGTGCGGATGGCGACGTCAGGACAGCACATCTGCCGTCGGTGGGTCAGCGGGTCCGGTGGAGGAGGAGGGCCAGCGGGAGCAGGAGGGAGCAGGGGCGCCAAGGGGGGGGGGCACTCGGGCTGCCAGTGACGCTGGATTTGGACGTCGCCTGGCCGACTCACATTCGGAGGCAATCAAACACGCAGACACAAAAAAGCGTCGCTTCCAAGTTATATATATAAACATACACACATACATACACACGATGTATACATGTATACACACATATATATATATATAGAGAGAGAGAGAGAGAGAGAGAAAGAGAGAGAGAGAGAGAAAGAGATTCCTCTTCCTATATTTATAAGCCCAGGGGGAGGGGGGGGGGGGGGGGAAACCCGACACCCCCCCAAAAAAACCGGACCCCCGGGATCTGCAGCTTTGGGACCCTCCGGACGGGCCTCGAAGCGGCCCCCTGGGCCTCGCAGGGCAAGCCTTCGCAGCACACCCAGGGCGATCAGGGGGGTCACCGGAGACGTCCCAGAGACCCCCAAGACAGCACAAGAGCGCTCCAAGAAGCCGTCATACCCCGAAAGATCGCTCCAAAACGTACCAAGAGACCTCCAAGAGCACCCCCAAGAAGGCCCCAAGAGGGAAAAATCATTGATTCTATGTAGGTTTTTGGTGCATTTGGGGTTCTCCTCTTTTCGGCTTCCCGACGCTCCAAGACGGCGGTATCCTAGGCGTCCGAAGCCGTCTGGGAGGCTCCAAAATCGCACCACGGCGGCCCAAGATGGGCCCAAGACATTCCAAGTCGTGACTGGGGTGTTCAGGGAGACCGCGGTTAGAGGCAGGTTGGCCTTAGGAAGCCCCAGAGGCCCCCAGAAAACACCCAGGAGGCCTCCAGAAGGCTTTCAGGAAGCCTGAGAACTTTGGTGAGGCCCCCAGAGGCTCTCCAAGGAGGAGCCTCCGCAAAAAGAGCTGAGGAGGATGGGGAGAATGCCCAGGGTATGGCGAGAATGAGGAAAAATAAGCATGGAGGAAGGACAACGAACAACATTATTATAACGGCGATGCCAGAAAAGGCAGCAAGGAGTTATCGCTAAATTGTCGGCTTGACCTTCCTGCCATTTCCGCCTGCAGACCAAACTCCAAGGACCAAGGTGCATGGCGCGAAGCGCCACTGCAGTCTTGTATATATCTATGTACGCGTAAGTGGAAATTGGAAGAGGAGGGGAAGACGAAACTCCAGGAAATATTGACAGCAATTGGGAATCCTGGGATTCATGTGTATTTAATTGTGTGTCCCTGGGCCCCTGCAGTCGGGCTGGCAGTGCCGCTCGACTTGGACGTCGCCTGGCCGACTCACAGTTCAGAGGCGGCTGGACGGAGCCCCCCCCCTGGCGAGGGAGCCAGGAGTACCACCCCTGGACGAGGGAGGGGTCGTCGCGCGAAAAACATGCGGGCGTCTTCCTGAAATTTCGGCGTCCCAGGGCCGTTCTCATACATGCATATACGCATGTGTATAGATTCCCCTTCGATTATTCTTATAGCGGAACCCCCCCCTGACCCCCCCTTGTACATAAATTCGGCCCTGGGCGCTCCCACCGACGTCAAATTCGGCTTTCGGTTTCGGGGGCCTCTCCCGGCCATCCCTGGACGGTCCCTCAAAGCCCCACGGCGGCCCAAGACAGCTCCAGAACGGCTCATGAGCGTTCAAAGAGGCCTCAAGGTGGCTTCAAGACGGCCCAAGATGCTCTCAAGACGCCCCAAGAGGCCCCCAAGAAGACCCCCAAGAGGTTAAAATCGTCCCATTCCCCCTCGGAAAGCGTACATGTTTAGCGCATATCCGCTTCTTTGGCCTTCACCGTGTCCAAGACGGCCCAAGAGGCCCCCAAGATCGCCCCAGGACGGCCCAAGAAGTCCCCAAGGGAGCCCCAAGACACCCCAAAAGGGCTCCAAAACGACCCAAGAGAGCCCCAAGACGGCCCCAAAGAGCATCAAAAGACTTCCCAGAGAGTCCGTAGCCATTCTGGCTCAAGCTCAAGCCGCTGGCCCCCTTTTCAGGACGCAATTGCCACTTTGCCCCCTGATCGCCATGGGGCGCAACAAAGGCGGTGTTGGTGGCCTTGCAGCTGCACGGCCGCCGAACTCGAACAGGGCGACGACAAGCGGCGGCGGCGGTGGACAGGGAAGCCCGCTCGGCGTGGCAGCTGACCCGAGCAGGGCGGCGGCCAACAACAGGGCGAACCAAATGAACCCAAACAATCCGGAGTTCTACAAAGCGCGTGGGCTCCGTGAGCGGCCGTGCGATTGGCCTGCAAATGTGGCGCAGCGACGGGAGAGAGGGCTTCGTGAGCACGCTGTGAACTTGGCCGTGGCGGAGGCCCCCGAGAAGCGCGCTGCGCACGGGCGCGACACGGAGAAGGTCGGCCACGCGGTGAGATCAGCTTTTGGCGGTCAGGCCCAAGTCCGCACGGGAGGTTCGAGGGCCAAGCACGTCCACCTGGCTGATTCCGACGTGGACCTGAAGGTCGTGCTTCCAGGAAACAGGCCCATGAGATCGGAAGACCGCGACGTCTTGACAGGGAAGCTCGCCAAGCAGTTCGGGGCCGATCGCGTGGAAACTTCGAACCCGAATATCCACATTGTACACGGGGAGGGTGGGTCCATGGATATTGTACCTTGTTGCGCCACCTTCTTCCCCGGAGGTTTCCACGCTGGCCTGCCACGCAACGACGGCTTCAAGAACAATCCGCAGGCGAGGCTTGCAGTGAGGGACGCCAAGCTGCACGCGAAGGAGCACGGTCTCGAAGTTCGTGGCCATGATGTCGAAGAAGCTGTCCGCAGGGCTCAGCAGGGGCACCCTCGGGCCAGATTCGACGAGCTCAACGCCGGTCACCTCATTCCATGATGCTCCAGGGTCCCCCCCCTATACGAGCGCCGTCCACTGCCCGACGCAGACGCAGTGTACAGTGTGCAGAAGCCTTCAGGTACAGTACAGCAGAGGAGCGGCATGTCATAGCAAAAAACACTTATATAGATACTAAATAACTAATAGATTTTTTATATATACAAAATCCCAGAGAGCCCCAAGAAGGCCGCATGAGGCCCCCAAGAAGAACTAAGAGGGCCCCAAGACGGCCCAAGCACCCAGACGGCCTAAGAAGGCCCCGGGACGGCTCAGGAGGGCCGCCAGACACCCCAAAAGAGCCTCAAAAGGAGCCCCACGAGAGCCCCGAAGAGCTTCAAAAGGAGCCCCACGAGAGCCCCGAGAGGCCATTCCCCTATCAGCCATATAAGGCTTGTTGGCCCCACAAGCCCTACACCCACTATGGTGCCTCATGGTGCCCCATGAGCCTTGTGAGGCCTGGGAACCCTAACACCTCCAGAGCTGTCACCCCCACACGCCGCGAGACCCCGAAGGGCCCCCCCACTCATAATCCACATAACGGGTGTGCCGCCACGGACGGTACGGCGGCATGCACACGTTGGCTCTTCACCGTCGGTGCAGCGGTGAGGCGGCATGCACACGTTGGCTCTTCACCGTCGGTGGAGCTCCCTGTGGGGTGCGGTCCATGCGAGGGGACATTCGGCACACATGCGGTGACGTAGCGTTCTGCGGATCCCCCCAGGAAGACGGATCACAAGGGCCCCATGAGGGCCACGAGACGGCCGAAGGTGCCCCACTGCGAATCCTCCATTCAGAGCCACAGGTGACGCCCGCTCGCCTGGGGGAGAGGCACACAAGGAGAGGAGAAGGAGCAAGGAGGGAGGAGGAGGGAAACGGGAAGAGGCTGGACGAGAAGGAGGAAAATCCACCATCCAGACCCGACGATACAGTTCTCGACGATTCTGCCTCTCGGGACCGTTTTCGGACCACCCGTCCAAAATCGATCTGCATCGGGAACCGGTTCGTCCAATCAGTCGCGCGAGCCGAGGAGGCCGAAGCCGCATGAGCCCTATGAGCCCTATGAGCTTTATGAGCCTCATGAGCCTTATGAGACCTATGAGGCCTATGAGCCCTATGAGCTTTATGAGCCCTATGAGCCTTATGAGCCCTATGACCCCTATGAGCCCATGAGCCCTATGAGCCTCCTGAGCCCTACGAGCCCTATGAGCCCAATGAGCTCTATGGACTTTATGACCCCTGCGAGCCCTATTAGCCCGATGACCCCTTATAAGCCCATGAGCCATATGAGCCCTATGAGCCTTATGAGCGCTATGAGCTTTATGAGCCCTATGAGCCCTATGAGTCCCATGAGCCCTATGAGCCCCATGAGCCTTAGGAGCCCTATGAGCCCTATGAGCCCCATAAGCCCCATGAGCCGCTATGCCCTATGAGCCCCATGAACCCTAGGAGCCCCATGAGCCCAACGAGCCCTATGAGCTGCACGAGCCCTATGGGCTCTATGGAGCCCATGAACCTTATGAGCCCTGCGAGCCCATGAGCCGCGTGAGCCCTATGAGCCTTATGAGCCCTATGAGCTCTGTGAGCCGTATGGGCCCCCATGAGCCCTATGACCCCCACGAACCTTATTACTCCAATGGGCCCTAGGAGCCCAATGAGCCTCAAGAGCCCGACGAGCCCATGAGCTCTCCGAGCTCCATGAGCCCCATGAGCCTGATGGGCCTTTAGAGACCCATGGGCGCTAGAAGCCCCATGAGCTTCATGAGCGCACGAGCGAGCGCCCGGAGCCCCATGAACTCAATGATCCGAGCCCCCCCCCCCCCCCGACCCTCCATGACACCATGTGAGCGCGATGGCGTATGCGCCCTATGAGCCCTAGAACCCCCTCATCACTAGGAGCCGTGAAGCCTTGCGGGACCCATGAGACCACCCTCTGAGCCTTACGAGCCCACTGAGCCGTATACGGCCTATGGGCCCTATGAGCCCTATGGCCCCGACTTGCCCCTTCACCCCAATCGCCCCATGAGCACTACGTGGCCTACGCGCTCTGTTAGCGCTATGGGCCCTATGGCCCCCAGGAGCACTGCGAGCTCTATGAGACCAATGGCCCCCAAGAGCTGATGACTCTAAGGAGCCCCAAGACTTTTCTAAGCACCATGAGCCTCCTATGACCCCCATGACCTCTGCACAAGCCACTCAGCATTAGGAGCCCCGTGCCCGATGTGCACAAATAGTTCCATGACTCCAACGAACCCCATGAGCCCTGTGAACCTTGTGAGTCTCATGACCCCCTGGAGCCGCATCGGCAGCATTACCCCTCGCCTAACAGGGCGGTTCCGAGCCCCTGGGCCCCATGACGGCAGAGACCCCTTCGGAGCTCCCTGAGCCGCAGTATTCCCTGGGTCCTATCAGCCCTGTTTGCTCCATGGTCTCCATGGCCAGAACACACCGCGGCTGTGACGACAACCGATATCATAGCGCCTCCCTGGCGCCATGCGATCAAGTTTTTAAAGGCGAAGCGTAGCGAGCTGGTAAAATCTTGCGTATGTGTATATATAGATACATATATATATATATGTATATGCGTCTGTGTGTACACATGGCGTGTTTATGTATTTGTTGATGTATGTATTTATTTATGTATTCATTTATTTATTTTTTATTTATTTATTTATTTATCTATTTATTTATTTATGTATTTATTTATGTATTTATTTATTTATCTATTTATTTATTTATTTATTTATTTATTTATTTATTTATTTATTTGTTTATGTATTTGTTTATGTATTTATTTATTTATTTATTTATTTATTTATCTATTTATTTATTGTATTTGTTTATTTATTTATTTATGTATTCATTTATGTATTTATGTATTTATGCATTTATTCAGTTATATATATATATATATATATATATATACATAGATGGTCCAGGGCTTGGGCCCCCCCCCCCCCAATGCTGATGCCATTGCCCCCCCCCCCTCCGCGCGATGGTCCCCCCCGCCCCCCCCTGTGGGCGTGGCGTGGTGCTGCGCTGCAGTGCCCCCCCCCCTGTGGATGTGGTGTGGTGCTGTGGTGGTTCAGAGGTGGGCGTGGCATGGTGCTGCGCTGCGGTGCCCCCCCCCCTGTGGATGTGGTCTGGTGCTGTGGTGGTTCAGAGATCGTCGTCGTCGTCGTCGTCGTCCTCCTCCTCCTCGTCGTCCTCGTCGTCGTCGTCATCGTCGTCGTCGCCGTCGTCATCGTCGTCATCGTCGTCGTCGCCGCCGCCGCCGGCGTCGTCGCCGCCGCAGCCGTCGTCGTCGTCGTGGTCGTCGTCGTCGTCGTCGCCGTCGTCGTAGTCGTCGCCGTCGTCGTCGTCGTCTTCGTCGTCGTCTTCTGGGACCATACCATCTGGGGGGCGGGCGGGGGGGGGGCCCGAGGAATCCTGGGACCATACCATCTGGGGGGGAGGGGGGGGGCCCGTGGGTTCGGACCCCGGGACCATATACCGGTACGCGTCCATATTTGAGGAGGACGAACCGCCCGCGGCGAAAAAAATAATACTGGGAGCGGTCCACGACGCCAGATCTAGACTCACCACTCCCCTACGAAAGTGTTCGCGCTGGCAGCCTCCGTGTGTCGAGTCGGCGTGCGCTGCCGGGGTTCCGCCCACCGCCTGCCCGTGCTGCCCCATGCTCACTCCAGGCGCTGGCTGGCGCTTCTGGGCTCTCGCCTGGGGCCTGCCCAGTGCCCGCCTGGCGCTCGCCGCGTGCGCCAGTTGGCGCCCCCCGGTGTTCGGCCGGGGCCCGCCAGGTGCCCGCCGGGTGTCCGCTCGGTGCGTTGGCTGGCGTTTCCCGCCTCGTGCTCACCCCATGCGCCGGTGCTCCACACAGCTTGCCTTCGTGCTCATCTTTTCCGTTGTTGGCGTTTGGCTTACAACAGCTCTTATTCGACATAGCCGCCCAGCCAGCCAACATCATGTGAAGTAGCTTCGTGAGACGTTTTTCCTTCATACGCCTCTGCGGGTCCGTGGGGGCCGACGACTGTTGCTTGTCCTGCATGTGTCTGACTCCACTCCCTTTGCCAGGGGGCAGGCTTCGTGTGTCACCTACCCGCACTCGATGTCCAGGTGCTGTCTGCACGGTTTCTCCTCCTGGATCTGAGGCAGCAGGACCCCAGCCGGTCCTTTTTTCATCCACCCCCTGCACACCTGTCAAATAGCACGGTGCGGAGCACTCGATCTGATCTCTTCCGTGCATGTTCTATGGATCCTTGTCACACGTGAATCGATGCGGGCCACGCGCGCGAACGCGTAACAAGTCTGCCCAAAACCTTCGATGTTCAAATAATGACAGTCGAAAAGCTGATCGACAGCTACTCTCCGAAAAAATAGCCCGGCAAAGCACCCGAATTGCAGCAATTATGAAGAAGCGGGTCGAGGAGTAGGAGCAGTACGGCCTGCAAGCCTTGAGAAAGGAAGAATGCAGCTGGGACAAGGGTGAGAGCACGGCCATGTGCACCGCAGTATATTGTATACCAAGTACGCGGTCGTCTGGACAACAAATGTAGCCAGCATCGGGGCGAAAACACGATTCCTGAATACATTGTGAGGAAGTCTCCGCCGAAACGGTTGGCGGACCTGGCGGTCCAGGGATCCCAGTCCCCTTTGTTGGAGTCTTCCGTTTTTTATATAAGCTTATACGTTTTAAATATTGTATAACTCTTCTTTTTATAAATAATAATAATAATAATATAAACAAAAAAAACTCTAGCGGAACGCGATTTGGACACGTTCAAACAAAATTGTAGGCGCGCCTTCGCTGGAATCACCTGGAAACGATAGGTTCTTTGCCATTCTCCCCAAGGGTAACTTGCGGGCCACGCGCGCGCATGACGAAATCCTTCCAAAAAAAAAAGCGTACCCGCCAACTCTTCTCAAATACCACCGTGCGGGCCACACGTGCGCGTCCCCGCGCGCTCAACAACCGCATACAATAACAAGAACACGCTACACGTATAGTTTGAGAATGTATATGTATATTTGTATGTATGTGTATGTCTGTGTGAATGTATCTAGGGGTGGATGGATAGATGTATGCATGCATTCATGTATGTATGTTTGTGTGTACGTGC